AAGAGCCGGTCCTCTAAAAAGAGCCGGAATTCCCTTCATTAATGTTCGAAACAGCAGGTCTAAATCGTTGATGAAAGTGCTGTATTTAGGGGCGAGTAAAAATAACGTGGCATTCTTAGTCAAAGGTCTGGGGTTCTCAGGAGCATGTAAATTATATACAGCTCCTGTTTTGGAATTACCTTTGCTGACTATTCCTGTTGTCTATGTACTGTAGGTGGTTCTAAAGCTGACTCAGATGATCGGGAAGAATGTGAAACTGTATGACATGGTGCTGCAGTTCTTACGAACTCTCTTTCTGCGAACCCGGAATGTCCACTACTGCACCCTGAGAGCAGAACTGCTCATGTCTCTTCATGACCTGGACATCAGTGAGATCTGCTCGGTGGATCCCTGCCATAAGGTGAGGGCACAGATACTGGTGGTAAATAAAGTCCCTAATCACATCTCCAGTGTATTTTACTTTGTGTGTTGAATGGGTTCTTCTCGTTTGTTTTGTGCACTTTGACAGTTCACTTGGTGTTTAGATGCCTGTATCCGTGAGAAGTTTGTGGATGGTAAGCGAGCCAGAGAGTTACAGGGTTTCCTGGATGGAGTGAAGAAAGGACAAGAGCAAGTCCTTGGGTAACAGACGAGGAGCTGGTTTATGAAAATAGTTGCTGATCATTGGTAGATGCACAAAATAATGTTTTGATCATTGTGCATTGCAGGGACCTGTCTATGATCCTGTGTGACCCGTTTGCCTGCAACACCCTAGTCTTGAGTATCATGAGGAACCTGCAAGAGCTGCTGAGTCAGGATGCTTTACCACGAGTGAGTATACTGTGCATGAGAAACAGAAGATGTGATACACAATTGTGCTGACAATTTGTGGTATTATACTGACTGACAACTTTGTGGTGATGCAGCAAAAACACGCAATGTGGCAAAGAAAAGGAAGGGAGGCACATTTAGAAGTTTAGACGATGAAGCAGTGCCACTCTAAGTGCAAGTTTTAGTTGTGCAACACAGAAAGTTGAAATAAACCCAAAACACAATAATTCCCTGCAGTTATTCTGCAGTGTCATATTATGTTTGAGGTTGTGAGGTTACTTCAGTAAAAGAAGAAAATACAACAGTGTAAAAATGGTTGATTTTAAGCAAGCAGTCAGAGCGGTGCATTTAATTCATGCAGCCACTGACAGAAACAGACACCCATTCACACTCACCTTTGGATTCACCAGTTATCCTTGGGGGCAGGAAGCTGGAATACCAGGAGAGAACATGCAAACTCATAAAGGCCAAAGCAGGATTTGAACACTGGACCTTCTTACTGTGAGGCAACTGTGCTAACCACGACAACACCATACTGCCCCAGTACATGTTATGTTTTTAAAATCAGTTTCAGTTAGTGAGCTAATGTTATGTTGAATGTGGGCTTGTTTTAAACTAGTCGAAATAAGAAACAAAATTCATGCACTAATATAGGTTAAACATAATATTTCAATGCTGTGCATTTCTAATTTTAAATGTTGTCTAATGCCAATTACTAGTTGTCTGTACCCACATACATATACTGTGATGGGGCAGCATTTTTGATAACAGTCTCATGTCGTATGTTTTTGCTCACAGGATAGTCCTGACCTGATGCTGCTGCTGAGGATGCTCTCACTGGGTCAAGGAGCCTGGGACATGATTGACAGTCAGGTCTTCAAAGAGCCTCGTTTGGTGCGTAAATGCCGACAACACAGGTTTATCTGAATCCGTGCATCAAGTTTTTGCTTTCACTGATTAGAAAACAGGGGACCTGCTGTGTACGTAAATATTGTTACTCACAGTATTGTAGTGTCTCTGGAAAAATCTGTATTTTTCTTTAAACCAGCTATAAATCAAACTGAAGCAAATTCCTTTAGTTTGATTTCTATTTGATTTGAATTTCTTTCGGTTAATAAAAAAAAAAAAAGTAAAATGTATTCATACTATATAGGCCTTTGAAAGGCAAGAAGCCAGTCACAGTGGGCTTTACAGAGGTTTCAATAACCAGCTTGTCTAAGGACAAAATGAACATGTATGAACTTGTAAAACAACACAGAACATGAACCAAGATGTGAAACAGAAATCTCAATGTTACAGGAAGCCAGTGCAGAACCTTTGAGAACATTTTTGGACAGATTGGAGGGAATTAATAGATGCTTAAGACAGGCCAAACGGACTGATCTAAAATAAACTCATGGTTCTGCGCATTGGCTTTTACAGTGGATGAGAAGCACTTATTTGGCCAGCAGTACTCAGAAATGATCATTAGAATTATCAAATAATTTGCTGTCTAACCTTTGATTGCATTATGAAAATGTATTAAATTGAGTAATTTATCCAATTCATGGTATTTAATGTCAACTGTCGACAGATAATAAGAAATGGTTTTTAAAATACTGATAATCTTACAATAATAGTCGTATGTAATATATATTTCAATACTTGTTTTCTCAACAAGTACTGAAAGCTATGACAACAAATTCTCTTTTAGTCTACAATAAACTAGCTGCCTCAATCCCATAGAAGTGTAGGGGCGAAGACAGTTTAGACGCATGTCTCCATCGCAGTGCTGATGTGGTCACTACACCTGTAACTCATATTTTCAATTCCAATATTTTAGAAGGTCATGGCCCTAGTGACTCAATAATTCCTTCCCTCATGCCGTCCTTGCATTGTGTTATAGGCAGAGCTACACAGCTCATTAACTTGAATATCTCAATAAACCTTGATTTCTTGACACAGAACTAAATACACTAACCACAAAAAGTAAGATCATTCGTGTTTAGTCAGTTATTTCTTTCTTGTAAGAGTGCTTCTTCGCCCTAAATCTTATGCTGTTGGAAAGCCTATTTATGTCCCATTACATTGTGCCACATTTGTAAGGGCAATCCATTAATAGGTTGAGCAGCAAAGTTGACTGTGGGTTGCACCTAAAATGTGGCAAATCTTCTCTACCAGTGCCATACAGCTAATTCTTCTATTGACTCTTGTCTTGAGCTTCTGGTACCCCAGGTGCTGATAGTCAGATGCCTGGTTTGTACCTGTGAGCATGGACCCTGCATGCCAATCTGGTTATGCCCTGTGCCATATGGCAACTTCAAGCTGGTGTTCCCCAAAACCAATTTGCAGCATTATTTGAAGTGAACCCTAGTACCATCTCCAAATTGAAGGCCCAGCTCCAGTGTAACGTGAGATGTCAGAAATAGGCTGCAAAGTGGGTGTCCGAGGAGACAACGCAACGACTGTATCCTTACCCTCTCAGCACTTAGGAACCATAGACAGTCTTCTACAGATATGCTGAGATTAGCCCTCTACCCAGACTATCCAGAACAGACTGCACACATCCAATCGCCATTCACTGCCTTTCACTGTCAGGTCCATTTGTACTGGTGATGGTAATATATGCTGGGAACTTGTGGAGGAACATTATGTTCAGCAGTGAGTCCAGATTCTGCCTATGGCACTTGTGATGGCACGGGGCAGCATCTCTGTCACTGGAAATTTAGCTTGTCATCACTGGAGGCAATCTCAAAGACTACATCCACTATTTGGGAGTGGAGAGAATGAAGTGGCCTGCATGCAGGTTCAACCCCATTGAATATTTCTGGGATCAGCTTGGGTCTGCTGTTCTTGTCAGAGTGACCAATGCAGCCACTTTGGCTGACTTAGGTGTCTCAATTCATCAGAGATGGGAGCCCTACCCCTGTAATAAAAACATTTTAGAAGCACCAAGAGCACTCTAATGCAACCTGAGTTTATATTTGGCATTTTCTGCACCCTGTTTGTACTGTAACAGCAACAGGGAAAGCTGCTTCTCCACCTCCTCTTTACCTCTGCACGTGCCTCGTTCCTTCCTCGTTTTGCTTTTAAAAAGTGATGATGCGCATTGTTGAAGTCTTTTATATGGTCCGGTTACAGTAATCCAAATCAGCAAATGATAAATCTCCATTGTAATAATTTCAAACATTACTTTGAAAGATGTCACTGCAAGTATCAGGAAAGCAGTCCAGCAGAAGTCACCGTGACATTGTTGGTATTTTTATGTCACCCTCAGGATTTGGAAGTGGTTACTCGCTTTTTGCCTGCAATGATGTCAGTGGTTGTGGATGATCACACCTTTACTGTGGAACAGAAGCTCCCAAGTGAAGAAAAGAGCTCGCTGTCATACCCCACCACCCTGCCTGAATCCTTCAACAGGTAAAAACACAGCAGCAAAAGAGGGGAGGCAGATGTTATATTGCATCAAACGCAGGTTGTCATCAGTACTTTCATCTCATAGCTTCCGGTAAGAAGCACTGTTACCACAGTAACCCTCACATCTGACTCTAATGTAGGTCACTTCTAAATTTAACTATAAAATGTCAATTCTTCACATGTTTGTACAAAAAAAAATCACCAAACACGAGTGAGAAATCATAAACCACAAGTCTTTAGTACTACTCCTTTATTTTTCTTGTCAGAGACAGTAGTTTTAAATGATAAACTATAGAGATGTTGATGTAACATGATGTATGTGACCACGTACAGTATGAGGTGTAAGAGATCAGTTGCATTGACTTCATTACTTGAAACCTTGGGCATGTTTGTCTTTATGACAATGACTTCTATGCTTCTAGCAACTTCTCCTTGGGTCAGTTTATTATCCCAGCAGGCCAGGCATCAGTAGCATCCGATGGTTGGCAGGGCATACGTGTTGGTTCCACAGATCTCGTGCTTCCTCTGCAGCTGTTTGGTAGTTGCATCTTTCCCAGTGGCCTCTTTGTGGTTAAAATTTGCCTGTCAGATTTCAAGGTATTTCTAACGATCCTCAGTGTCTGCAGCGTTGCCTTCTATCAGAGCAGTCCCTACAGCTCCGTCTATCTAAGTGTTGTGGATCAGTGAATTGATGTCTTACTTATTTGAGGCATAACGTTGGAGTCAACCATCTGTAGAGGAGGTGGCCTGTCTGTAGCCTGTCATATTTAAGGACCTGAGTGAGGAGCTATGCAGCACAGCAGTGGGGACAGAGCATCTCTTTGGCAAATCCCGCACTTGATGGAGGCTTTGGCTTGAAGTTGGCCTTTAGTCTCATTTTCCATATGCCCGCTGAATTACTGTTGAAGGCTCTTGGGGTTTTGTTAATCTTTGCAGTTGTAGGCATTCCTGGGTTGAATCATAGGCTTTCCTACACAAGTACACGGGTTGGTCATTCTGGTCTGCTCTGTCTACCAGTAGCTGGCCTGTTCACTTTGCCCTAATGATGCATGGGCATCCAGACTATCGATGACACACATAGAATAATATACTACCGACACTTTATTCACTTTTAGTCACTTTGATTTTAAAACTGTATATTCTGTGTATTTATTATCTCACTCTTATTGTCCTTATCTTCAACGTTATGCTGCTCTGTTGTATGTTAATTGCCCCTTGGGGATAAATAACGTCTTTCTGATTCTGATTGTGTCCTGGGTGGAATTTGAAATGGGATGTAGTGAATTAGTGGGTGGATCCATTTGTGGAGGCAATTCATTAAGTCGGTTCACTAAGCTGAACAAATGGTGACAGTGGTTGTCTCCAGGACCACACACAGAGTTGTAGCAGGTTATTGTTTCCCTACCCCCTCAGATACCTGCAGGAGAACAGAGTGGCCTGTGAAATGGGTCTCTACTATGTCCTCCACATCGCCAAACTGAGGAACAAGAATGCCTTACAACGGTTGCTGCCTGCACTTGGTGAGTGTCTGAATTATGCAGTATCACTGCCTTTTTTTCACGTGACTGAGTCTTATACCTGATCTCTCAGTTACATTGCTTGTTTTTTGGTTTTGTTAATAAATCACAATATTAACAAAGATGTGCGCGATTAGTCGACTACTCTACAATATTTTCAGCAGTCTGCAACAGGCGCACCAGTCATGTAATATGATCGTTAATATTTTGATTGCTGTCCAGTGCCAGGACATAGTTGTTATGTAGCCCTCTGCCCCCAGATGGAGCTGCACCCCTCCTAACGTGGTTTGCTCCAGAAAATGAAAACAGAGTTGTATCTAGGCTTTGTCAGAATAAACTGGCTGTCAACACTCAACATGAGCAATACACATATTTAGCACAGGCATGGGGACGTTCATTTTCATGTAAAGAAAGCTTTTGCTAACGTTAGCCACACCTGTATGACATTGTTTACCTGAATATGCTACAGTCCGTAGCTCATCACAGCAGAAGATTTCACTCAGTGTTGTTGAATGCAGAGGCTTTCAAAAGTTCATTAAATATAATGAGCCTGAATACACGGTGCCTGGCAGACTGTAGCACAACCAAAACTGACAGAGGAAATGAAGCTAAGCATGCAACAGCAGGCTGTTCAAATTCCACGACAAATGAGTCGTGTGTCAAAAATCTGTCCTTTTACTACTGAAGGAAATTAGCAATGCTTTTAATTTGTGGATTAGAGGAAAACTTGGCAGCATATCTGCGAGGTGCTGTTAGCAAGTTGGGACTGGAAGACGAGGTCGTTACGTATCCAGACAACAGAAGCAATAAGGCAGTGGCAAACAACATCATGTTGGAGTAGGAAGCATTTTCTTGTTTTGATGATGAAACTTGATGAAAACTGCCGGTTCTGATCTAAACAGGACAGTCACAAAGCTGATGGACGCACATGCTGTGTGTCCCTACCTTAGAGCTGTCAGATGACAATTAAGGGCGTGGTCCCTGTGCTCCCTCAAAAGTGCCACCACTGGTCTGTGTTGAACTTTTACCATGAGTTTGCTGAACAATACCCTCCTAACATAATTAAAACACACGAGGAAGAAATGAATCATTTTCAATTATAAAACCCCAAAGTCAGCCATGTATTAGTCGTTTCCCATGACTACATCAACTTGCAAGTCGCTGTCTATGTTCCCACTACATCTGCTGTTGTCAAAGAGTTTTTCTGCTGCTGGACTTATTGCCAGTGAACTGAAATCACGTGTTTCACCCCTATGTTAATTTCGCTGAACAGAAATGTTTCTTCAGTAGAGTAAGGACACTTTCGATGTTTAGGCTTTTCTAGTTTAGTCAACTAAGAAATTAGTCACCAGGAACATATATTCAGAAACTTCACATTCAGTGTGTTAATGACAGACCATCCCACTTTATAGGAACAGTTTGAGTCTTACAAGTGTTTCCTTTTTTGTCCCCCCGTAGTGGAGACCTACAATGATATGGCTTTTGGTGATATCTTCCTTCACCTGCTGACTGGACACCTCACACTTCTCTCTGATGAGTTTGGATCAGAAGAGTTTTGTTCAGTTGTCTTTGATGGATTCCTCCTTACATCTTTCTCCAGGTAGGTTGACTCAGTGTTACAGTATAAGACTACATCACCATTCTCATCCCACACCACCAAAGTTGACTAAAAATACACAAAGCTCTTATTACCACCCAGCTTCTGACAATAGCAGAAAGCTTAGTGGTTCAGTAGTTTCAGATCCCCAACTGCTGACCGTCCCCTTTCAACGCCACCAGCCTAAATTTGCTGAGCAGTTAGGAAGGTTAATGGGTGACAGTAATAACAATAAAGATTTAATTTCTGTAGCATCTTATAAACACGTTTTACAGAAGTTTAAAAGTGATTTTAAAGATGTAAGCAGGTGCTGAAAGGGGCCATCCCAAAACTGCCAGTCCATGTCCTTAAGCATGAAAACATGGAAAGATCGTTTATTCTGTGTGTATCAGGACATCATTTGACTGTGGAACATAATGCTGCATGTAAACGTGAGTTCCTGTTAGCATAATACAGGAAGCTAACAAGGCAATCACACAAGTCACCTTCAAGTGTGGCATAAACTGTGCTGCATTGGTCTCACCCCCTACAGTCCCTTTTACGTAGGTCACAGCACAGTGAACAGCTCTCCAGTTGGTCATTCAGTGTTAGAGAATAGAGGATTGTCATTGGCTAAAGACTCATGATTGACACGTCTTTGCCCAAAGAGCAAACACCCTCTCTCATCACATGATTTGTTGTTGTTTTAACCAAGACGTCAAAGTATTTATCTATTTACTTCTTTGTGTCTTTTGCATTTTTTATTAACTGTGAGATAGAATAGCTTCTTTCTAAAAGATGAGGATAAAAACACCTTTGGTGTGATCGTGTACAGTAAACATGTCTGTCGTTTGTCTCGACTGTCTGAATTCGTTACAGTAAAGAAAATGTCCACAGACACACCCTGAGGATGTTACTGCATCTACACCACAAAGTGTTACCATCATGTATGGAAACTTTAATGAAAACGCTGGACCCTCCAAAACAGGTAGGTTTCAGGTGGAGAGCTCCATTTAAACACTCGTGTTGAACCACTTTTTGGCACAAAACGATCGCATGAGTGCTGCTGTTTGGAAGAATAAAGTAGTCGTGGCAAAACAATCACATGACCACTTCACGATGACAAAGCAACAAGGTGATATATACCAGTTTTTAAATTGTGCTGATAGTCCACGTAAAACCAGAGTCACGATAAACAAGATATACGCAGAATAGTTTCGTCACGTTTAATATCTAAGGACAGCGCAGCGAGACCTCTCTGCTTATGACCTTATGTCAGACCTGCAGGTATCAGGCTGTGATGTTCTCTTAAAGTGGACAGAAATTATTTTTTTGGAGTGGCACAAATAATTTGTGTGGCGTCTTATTTAATGCAGAACAGCTGATTGTTCGGTAAATAGGTTGAAATGTTTATTTAAAAAAGGGTAAAAGTTTGCAAATAACTTTGTTGTTTGCAAAACTTGTGCGTAGGATTTTAAAATTTGCAATTTTATTTGCATTTAAAGTTCTGAAATATGATCATTAAACATGTTTGTGGTTGTTACAGTAAAAAATCAAACTTTTTTCTACTCAGAGTTTATGTTTTTTGTCTGATTTCAGATCAGTTGTGTTAATACAGTATATCAAAATGAAAACATACCTGTAAATTCAGACACGTGAGGTTGTGTGAGGATGACACCAAACAAGGCAAACAAACAGTTTTTAAAGGTGAAATGTGGAGGAAACATCAAAAGTGGTCAAAAACAGCCTCTGGACCCCAGAGGGTTAAATATTTTTCTAAAGTAATGCAATAGTTACTTTTCCTAGTAATTAATTTTAACTCCGTCACTAACTCAGGTACTTTTTTGAATAAGTAATTAGTAACTATAATTAATTACCCTTTCAAAGTAACTTGCACAACACTGGTCATTATCACCAGAGGTTTCGGGAAGAACTATTGTGAGACATTACCCCACCCTGTCATGCGAACACTTAAAGTCACCTGACAAAAGGTGACTTTAAGTGAAGGGCCTGGGATGGACTCTCAAGAGTACATTTGCTACATTGCAGGTGGCAGGCAGCTGGTGTTGGAGCCACTCCCTCTGTTCAATGATGGTTGATCACATCGTTCATTTTTTACTCCGCCTTCAAAATATGCATCTTAACTGGCCCGAATACCTGTGTGTAAGGATGAACTTGAATATTTAGATGACAGTTATATCTAATCCAAAAATGTGACTTATCAATAATTGCTGGTAGCTGACCAGTGATTAAGCATTTAGAACATTGTAGAACTTCCTCGACCACAGTGGCGTGCACTTCCTCCCCCTCGCTGTCATTTCTCGTAATAGTCTTTCTGTTTTTGAAATTTGCACTTCGCACTGTGCCGCTGCGCACAGACACACAGCTCCTCTACTCACTAAGAGCAGAATTAATTAACATTCATAACCCTCAACAACACTTGGAGGGATTTCAGAGGTAGAAAAAAGTTTCATTTTCAACAGCACTGTAGTGTTGAACAGTTATTAGGTTGACAGGTTATAAATGTTAACCTGGCCGGCACACAAACTGACATTAGATGTTTAACTCTTAGCAGTTATCCACCACATTGGCATCTGTTGTCTTTAATGTAGCATCTAGCAGCCTGTGCTTGGATAGAAGATAAATAATCATTCCAGGCTGAAAGGATCATGGATGGGATATTGAGCCCTGACCGAGCAGATTACAGGCAGAGGTGAACTGGGCGAGTCGGTGCTGTCTGTGCAGAGCAGCCAGATAAACTGAGAAGAAGGTTCAGAGTCTGGGGAACTAATCTGAGTACATAAAGATTGACGTCTGGAGCAGAGCAGTCTAATCAGATGTCAGGCCTGAGGAGCAGAGCTGCAGACTGAGATGCAGCAGTACGAGCAGGGGATCAGAGAGGCTGACAGATTTGCTGTCATATTCAGGATGAAATTAAGGGCATAGAGTGTGGACAGGATGATGCACTGTAACTCATTGTAGTCTTACACGCACACACACACGTGTGAACGCGAGTTGAATGTCAGTATACTGTATGTGCTGACACGTGTGCTGTGTGTTCACAGTGCAGTGAGCCACTGAAGGAGCTCTACACCCAGCTGACCGAGAAAATGGAGGCGCAGAAAAAGAGCCCGCCTCCAACAGATGAAACTCCATCCCTGGACTTGGGGCTGCACCCAGTGACCGTTCCCACTACGGCCTCCACACCAACCACACCTCTCTGAAGATCTTAATCGCTGATAGACTTTACATGCAGGCTGCAGCTGATTCGTGAAAAGCTGGAAATTTTACAGTTGTAGCATTTTTTTTCTTTTTCAGAAGGTTTCATTCCTGTAGACGTGTCTTCCAGCTCTGACAGTGTACTCCTGTTTTTTTTTTGCATTATTGTTCAGATATACAATACTTTCATGTGTATCTGGGCTGTGTGTGTTTATGAAGTGTGTCAGTAGTGCAAGAACCCTGTAAATAAAGAACTGTTTGCAAATATAGTTTGATTTACTATGAGCCAGGCAAAATGCACCACCTGGATAGTAACACAATCACTCGATGAGACACACTCGACTGCAACAGGAAATAAGAGACTGATGTGTGTAAACCCCATTGGTTAACTTACCAATAGCCAAACATAGAGTTCGACATGCTGAAGACTTGTTTGACTCTGGTAAGCTCTCACACAAGCATGAACATGTCAGTTAGATGTCCCTGCGCGTTTATTGCACTTTGAGAAAACAAAGCAGAAAAACAGGGATTACAGTGAGAATTACAAGTACGGATCTGCTCCGAGACCACTGGAAGCTGCATGAGTGAGTGGGACACACACACACACAGTGAAACAAAAATGATCAGTGATGCCTCTGACATTATTGCACGAGTCTTGTTTTCTTCATCTGTGGGTCTTTTTTACTCAAATATGATAAATTATCCTCACCACACACACATGCATACACAGTGATGTTCTCGCTCTCAGGTATCCCTCTGCACACAGACCAGCTGAAAAAAAGGATTTTTTAAAATCCAAATGGCAGTTTTGATGAAGTATTTCTTTTCAGTTGTACACGCAACAAGAACAACATCTGAAGTTTGGGAATTGTTGCCTAGGCTTCAGTAAATCTCATTAACATAGTTAAAACGTAAATGAGATGACTTTTCACGCAAAAGATGTAAAAGTAATGTAATGTCGAAATACTCATTGCGCTCCGATTGTCACGTTTTGACATATGGATATGTTGACTCAGCAAAGGTAATATTAATGGCAAATGTTTTGCCTCATTACTTGCAAGTTTAATGAAGCCTTACTAAGCTTTTGTGCTTTTTTGTGTTGTACCCAGAGGTTTCAACACAGCTGTTACATAAACTGCTTGAGGTCCTAATTAGTGCTGTGAGCAAAATGGTGCCAAACCATATTTTAAAAAGTAACTTTATTCTAAAGAAAATAAGAGTACAAGTACTTTTTTTCCCTCATCAATCTGAACTTATTTTGTAAAACAGTTTTTGCTGTTTCTTTAGAAGTAATGTTATTTCTGACTCAATCGTATTTTAAGATCATCCAAATACTTTAGTAGGCATTGTAATCCTACTGCAGCGTATTTAAAAAAATCAACACTTCATTTACTTTTGTAGGGTATTTGTTTTGTGCTTTGACTGTAATGCATTGATCGGTCTCTCCCAGTGCCCCTGCACTGCAGTACTGTAATCTCACAGTGCCAAGTGCCACTGACAGCATGGGTAGCAATGTAACTTCGTACATATACTTTGATATTTGAATGTACTCTGCACTTGCAGTATACTTTATTTGGCTATTTCATGCTGTTTGCAAATGTTGCATTTTGTACTTGTAGATAAAAGTACCAAGCAGCATACAAATAATTAAAATAATCTCCATCAATAATGAGTACTTTCACTCCTAAAGTGTATTTTGATGCTTAAATGTTTTCTCTTTGCAAAATGGTTATTCAATACTAAACAATGTTTAAACTCTTGTGCAGCTTATTTTAATGACATACAGTGGTATGAGAGCACAGGGCCGAACCTTCTTCATGCCTCAAAACTGTCCTCAGTGTATTTAAACAAATATTCTTATTTCCTGTGCCCTCATGTCTCATGTTTGTGATGTACAAGCCCTTAAAAACAATCCTGGAAACACTTGTAGTATAATGTGTATTTACAGATACTGTGACTCTGATCTCTCAGCTCAGCTCCCCAGATAAGCAATAAGTGTGACCCATGTGGACAGTAAACAGACTCCCTTCGATTTTTCTTAGTTTCCTGTATATTTCCTCCTCCTCATCATCATTGAGAACATTTTAATATCAGATAAAGACAACACAAGTAAAATGCAGACAAAATGCAGGTTTTAAATTATAAAAGCTGTCCAAACCTACCTGGTGTGAAAAAGTAATTGCCTTCCTTGTTAACTGTAATTAAGCACACTGTTTGTAAAGCTGAGTTTCACCAGCCAATAAATCACATAACATTCTCTGTCTGACAAAGTGAAGTAGGCTAAAAGATTTCAATTGCAATCACATCATGATCTAAAGAAACAAATCTGAAACAAAATAACTGACTTCTATCATTCTGGAAAGGGTCGCATTGAAGGTGTTCATGAATCAACAATAAGAA